GATAGCTGGTTTATAAACAAAACACTTGGATGTGCTCTTGAGCTGCCCTATCGTCCAGGGCTACGGACCAAGAGTTGGAAAGCTGGGATAGAGGCTGGATGGCGTTTATCCGTCTAGTACGGAAACGATGGACCAAATGCACTCCTACGATGTCATGTGTTTTTTTTTCTATGTTCCTAATAGTCGGTATAAAGTCACTTCAATGAATCTAAGTGATGCAATATGTAGGAGTATTCACGTTTGCTGCGGGAGAGCTGTGTTTGCTGCGGCTGTCGGGTTGATGGCGCTACGAGCTGACTCCTCTTTAGTAGGTTTCACGCTTCGCTAATACTTCTCCACAGGCGCCTACCTCTCACTCTCCCTTCGAGGAGGGAGGGGGAGAGAAGAGAGAGATTGCTTGTCAATAAACAAAACGTTTTTAGATCATTACAAGGTCGCTCCCAGCCTAGAGCAAGCTCGTTCCCGAGTCCCAGCCCTACACTTGAGGGCGGGACAAGGGCGGAGCAGCTTCACTTCGGCCAATCGCAGGGTGCTCTCTTTTTAAAATTCCCTGTCCGTCACTCAGTTTCCTCTTCGTCAGCCTCCTTCGCCATATTGGGTAACTGAAAAAAAAGCCAGTTTTTTTTCCGCCTTACTAGAATCAGTTTTGACGAGCGATAGGTTGTAAACTGTTGCTGTTGTTGGCGTTTTTGTTGTGGTTCTGTGCTTTGCAGCTTTCTGAAGAATTGCACGATATTGTTACATCGTGTAACCTTGCAGTTCTGCTGTCTGTGAGGCTTCGGACGATTTGCAGCGAGAGGGGGTACGAAGGGAAAAAAAAATGTCAAACGTACGCATTTCTAATGGTAGCCCTTCGCTGGAGAGAATGGCAGCTCAGCAAGGAGGGCACCCAAAACCTTCAGCCTGCAGGAATCTTTTCGGTCCCGTAAACCACGACGAGTTGAACCGAGACTTACAAAAGAAACAGAAGGAGATCCGCGAGCAGGACAGGCGGAGGTGGAATTACGACTTCGAGAGGGACAAGCCGCTGGATGGGAATTACAAATGGGAAGCCGTGGATTGCAAGGATGTGCCTAATTTTTACTGGGGTTCTCCCAGGGAGCAAGTGTCATCAGCCGATTGCAGTATGGATGTGAACGGGAACCATGCGATAGTTTGCGTAGGAACTCTGGCTCAGGGAAATTCAGGGGACACACACTTAGCGAATTCAGAGCAAAAGGACGTGGTTAAAGAGACAACTGAACATTTCACGGACTCAAAAGAGCAATGCTGTAGTCCCCGAAAACGAGCTGCGTCAGTCGGTAAGTGACAAAGATGTACTCTATTGGGAGTTGCAGGATCCATTTTCAAACGGACCTTTCTGACCTTTTTTTTCGCGCAAAAAGAAGCCTTCACTGCCAACCAGTGGTTTACTCATTTATTTCCAGCGGACCTGCTTTTAAAATCGTGCAGTTCTTGGTCTGTTTGGGGTTAAGCATGAGTTCCCCTACGTTTGAAAAAGGATACTGCAACTTCAAAGGCCTTTTACAAAGATGAAGCAAACGGCATTTTTTTCCCCTTCAACAAGCTTGAGATGTGGTTGACTAATACCCATCAGCACGACGAACCTTCATTAAGGAGTGACCCCCATAATATACCATCATCCTGATTTTCAAATTTTAATTTAGCTTTTCTTGATTATAGATGGCTTTCCAGAAGCAAAAAGAATCAACACAGCGACGGAGACAGACTGGTCAGCAAATTCTCCCAATATAAATGCATTAGAGAAGACGCCGAAGAAATCGATTTCGAGCGGGCATCAAACATAAAGCAAAAGTGACAAGGTAGTTCTTTATGTACCTTTTTTCAATTGACTGTCTCCTCCCAAAATATCTTATAACATAGGTAGCAACAAGACTTTATACTGCATGAACCAATCGGCCTCACTGGCCCAGGTTTGAAAGCGTACACAGGGTTGTAATGTCACTCGTGTTTCTTTGCTATATTTTCTGAACGACACGTATGCACAGGTGATTATTTCCAGCTGCTTTCAAATAACCAGATACACTGTAGCGTTCTGCACAAGTATCCAAACATCTTGGGTGTCCTTTCTTTCCCTCCACAATACGGTAGATTGCTTTGCCCAAGTCTTGTCAATAAAGTCACAGGACTGACTGCGAAAACGTAGTACATTACGCGGGGGAGTGCGCAACCACAACTGTAATGTGTGTCTTTGTAGGCTTTATACAATGGGCATTTTTTTCCTTTTACGCCAACTTCCAACATTAATATAATAAAACAAGAAATAATCACGATTAAAAACGGATCACAGGAGCAAGCTGTTCTTTATCTTCCCAGCTAATGTACAAGCAGCATTCAAAATTACACTTGGGGTAGAGTCCAAGGTTGTAGAGTAGCTGCATGGCAAATATATTTTAACGTTTCTCATTTTGGGACTCTGATTTCCCCTATGATTTTATAAGTTGTAGTAAAATATGAGAGGAGGGACTATGTAGTGTACACTCTTTTTAGATTTAATATACAACCAAGGGGTGTGGTGGGGAAGCTACTTTTTACATGGCTAGTCTCAACAAATTAAAATTTAATGGAGATGATGCTTATTTCTTGGCTTTGTCCACATTGGTAGTCATAGTCAAAGTCGTGCATTGAAAATATTGTTCACTACTTTTGTGAAGTATTGTGTATGCTAAATAACTGTCTTTTGTATCAGTTTCAGATAGCACAAGGTGTGTTTGTACTGAGATTTTAAAAACATCCTAATTAGACTACAGATATATTGCCCTGTGCAGTTGGTGATTTTTCTTTAAATTGGTAGGTCTAACTAGTCAGATCCAAAAACTCTTTAATAAACCTATTTAGGTGACTTTCTGTTCAGGTAGTGCTGCCAAGCACACCAACTCCACCCGCCCCCCCACTAGACAGCAAATCAGTTTGCTTTTTAAAGGAAAGGCCTGGACGCACCAATGCTAATTATATTGGAATACCAAATAATACATATTTGTGCATTTGAAAATTATGGCAACTAGTTAAATGTGATTGTGTCTAAAGTCCCACCATGCTGACTGTAATGGATTTTTTGCTTACTTCCATGCAGACAATGTACCTTATCCAGCTGCTAGATTTTAAATCAAATATTGAAATATTATGATAATAACATGATCATATCTGTGCGCAAGTCTTAGCACTAATGGTATTAGTTCACTCAGCGTCCAGTTGAATAACCAATTGCTTAACCCTTTTGCCAACTGTACCCTGTAATCAGTAGCTGAGTTGAAATTATCAGTGTAGCTATGCCAAATAGCATTTTAAGTAATTCCAATGATACATAATTACCAAACATTGTATTAATCTTTTACTTCATATTTTTCCTTGTTAGGTATGAAGATCCTTTTTTTTTCTTGGTCATCCATGGCAGTGCTTGATGAAGCGAGGATGATCTCCTCAGAGACAGACATATCGTTATCTCTCCAAGTGAGGAGAGCCCAGGCACTGAACTTGTGAACACTAAACCGCCAATTTTAGAGTGGATATAGCGCTGTGCAATTAGGTTCTTCCTTTATCACTTGGCTGATTTTTACTACCTGTGTACATAGTTTTTTTTTTGTAGCACATAAATCATTTTTTGGGCGGGGGGGGGAGGGGGGGGGGGGTGAAGGGGAGGAAGTGGGAAACTGTTAAAACGCAAGAGTTTAGAAAATGTATGACTTGAATAGTAGCAGTGTAGTTTTCCAATGCAGTTTAGAAACTGCAAAGTTACAATACCTGTGTATTGTATGTTTAAAAGAATAAAAAAAATCTAAAATGTACCTGTGTACATAACTTTGTAAAGACACTGAGAAATTATACTAACTTATTTATGTTATAAAGAATTGATGTTTTTGGAATCTAGAAGATAATTTTCCGTTAAGCCAAAGTGGCATTTTTCATGTGCATTTGTAAATGCTTTATTGTAGATTTTCCCATCCGTTTTTGCCTGTCATAATATAAGGCTATGCTTGAAAGAGAGAGCGTCCTGAGCCATTTTCTGCCTTAATATTGGATATATTTCTCATTTTTGTTTTGTAACGTGTGAAGAGATGCTGACTTTGTCCCGCATCCTGATTTCCAATAAAGAAAAACGTACATTATGCGTGTGTATAGTTTACAATTTAAAAGAAGTATAGCTACTTCACATGTTGCAAATGCTCAAGAAACCATTAAAAGTTGCTAGTGCTGCTACCTTTAGTTAAGGAGAGATATATTTTGGTTTGTAGAATGATTTGAAAATTATCTCGGGCCTTCCGTAATTGTAAGTGTGGTTCTTATTTCGAGATGATGCGCACTTTTTGTGTTGATGCGAGCTACACCTAGTCACAGAAATGATGCAGAATGTTTAATGTTTCATATTTTTACAAAAGCGTTACCATTGTAAGGGTTTTCTCCGCAGTCTGAAACCGTTGCTTTTTATAAATGCGACCTTTATTATTTTTTTAAAATAATAAACACAGCTTCTTGGGTGTGATTTTTTGAAGAGGGGATTTACCGTGGCGGGGGAGTTGACAACAGCTTATCAGAACGCTTACCTCCTCTACCCTCTCTTCAACGCCCCCCCCCCCCCCCCAACCAATAGAGAGCTGAAATGCTTTTGAAAGCCTTTTTTTAAAAAATAACAGTAGCTGCAAAAACAATAGCTTTGTAAAACATTATCGCCCGCTAAGTAGGAGCCAGACACTCCCAGGAGCAGCTACAGTGTGTGTGGGAGAGGGGGAGCTCAAGCTCTGGGGCGGCTAGAACTCTGCAGGTGATTGACAGCTCGAGTACCAAAAAAAGCACGCCACGGCGTGGCGGCCAATGAGGGCGCGAGCTGCTCCAACGTCAGCGCGCGCCGGGCTGTGTTTTCCTTTCAAACACTGTTTCCCCGCCCCGTAGCCTCCGTCGCATTGGCTCGCGCTCGGCAAGACGAAACGAACGGTTGGGAATGGCAGGATCGTATTGGAGGAGAATAACGTCAATCAACACGTGGCGGTGTCCTCGTCGTGAGCGCGCACGCGGCTTGGAGAGAGGTCGTCCAACTTTTTGAATTCATATTTAAAACGACAATAACCGTTTCCCGAAGTCTATTTAAAGCTGCGCCAAAAAATAGGAACCTTCACTTGCCTTTTGGTCTCTCTCTTGCAGCGGTTAGACCGAAATGATATATTTGCAACGGCACGGCTGCTCGAATTTAGAAAAATGAACACACAAATTAGTGCTGTCAATGTAGGCGGAATGGAATGCGTTCTTTATATTTTTAAAAAAAAGTCTTAAGGAGCGCGTTTAAAACATCGAAGTGTGAATAAAATGTGATTTTCTACAGAGTGCAGTACGGAGCCGACCTTTTTAGTGATGTTACAGGGCGGACAGGTTTAGATGGCCTCCATCCACCCTTTACGTTCCTTCACATGTTTCACAGCTGCTGCCCAGTGACTAAATGAATTGCCAGTATTTAAAAACAATCATTGGAACGGTCACTTCATGCTGTCATTTAAGAGCGGGGACGTTGGTAAGTAGTTTGTTCTCATTTTAGAAAAAAAAACCCACTATTAAAAAGTAATTTTGTTCACAGTAATTATGTTGTAATTAGTTATAATAAACACGTTTTACTTCAGCCAGCAATAAATATTAGGCAGCGAAACGGAGACTGAACTGTATTTCATCTTTAACAGTTCTCCGTGTAGGCCTCAGCAAGGCAATCACCATGTTTATAGTAGGACTGTTCATTTTAGGGGGTATATTGATTCTTCCTGTTTCTTTCTTCTTTCTTCCCCCCCCCACAGTATCTACATCCTAAATACTATATTTTTTTAAGTATACGTGAGTAAACATATTTTGATGACTAGTTTTCAAGATACTTTCCACGGTAAACAAACTTAACTTTACCACCTACTTTTACGCCGTCTTCATCACTCTGACAACGTATTGGATTGAGACTCGCTAATGTGTGCTCTTGTGAAATTTATTTTAAAAAAAGCAACATAATTAAAATTGTAGCTCCATTTGTAGAAGCATGCACTAAAAGTATCTGTTTGTATAAACTTGCCAATACAGATAGGAGGAAGAACTCGTATGTGGATACCTCCTCTACTGTCTCCAGGTGTAATCTGGTCACTTATGTGAATACACTACTTGCCTTTCATGAGTTTAACACAAACACAATTGAGGCGATCAAATATGATCACATCCTGCAAGGCACTTCAATCAGAACGCCTGGTAAACCATCTATTCAAATTTAGCGAAGTATTCAAGTATCAATCAGAATTCCAAATCAGTTGAATCCCTCACTCAATCAATGACGATTGTTGTGAGCTTTACTCATCTGCACACTTAAAGAGAAAAATAGTTTGGGAGGGGCAGAGGCAGTTTGCACCTTTCATTAGTGAGATATGGAATACTTAATATCTGCCTCTAACGCTATTGACTAGCTAATTGGTTTATGACTATAAATCAGCTGGACTACCGTGCAACCAGAGCTCTTATAGCATGGTGGTAATATCCCTACCTCCTGGACCAAGAGGCTTGGGTTTAAATCCCACCTGCTCTAGAGATGTATAATAACAGCACTGAACTGGCTGACTAGAAAATATCAAAGTGGACAAGTATGGCTTGACATGTATTCCTATCTCTGGGCCAAAAGAGCCTGATGCAAGTCCCACCTATCGGTCTGAACACCCGACCCGAAACGTCAGGTTTCCTGCTCCTCTGATGCTGCCTAGCCCGTTGTGTTCCTCCAGCTCCACACTGTGATCTCTAACTCCAGCATCGGCAGTTCTTACTATCTTTGATTAAAAAAATGTAAGGTTAAATCGATATTAAAATATGAACGTGTCGGCTCTCCAAATCTGGCGCCAATTAATAACTATAATCTCCATGTAATAAAACACTCTACAGATCATGCGTACTTTAACCAAATATCACTAATTTATCTGAACTAAAGACCCTGCCGAATATTAACTTTTTTTTGTTGAATCAATATCGGGACATCCAATTTAGCTCTGTTTTCATGATACTATTAGAGTGTTTCGCCACCTGACCACACATTGTGTATGACCCTGGCAGTGATAGTGTTTCGGTATTCGTTTACACACCTGTGTCTCCATGTATTTTTGCAGATAATGCATATTTTGCATACACTTCACCATTGTCACTCTTCAAAAATAAACGAAGTTATTCGGAATGTGAAGCAAGTGTTTGCACAACATTTACAATGGAATGGGTAAATGGCGGACACATGGGTGAAATTGGAGAATCAAATATTGTGAAAATTGAACAGGTACAAGGACATTCTGATAAAAGGCTGGAGGCTACATCAGGGACACCGGAGAAAAGTGGCAGATAGATGTAACACAAAACAATCCAGAATGATTATTACAAGAATTATGGTTTGATTGGAGGATCGATTGAAATAATATTACAGAATTGGATGTCTTCAGGGGATTGGATGGACAAAAGCCACGGAGAACCAAGGCTGGGATGAATTGAAGGTTTAATTTCAGATGGAGCAGAAAAAAAGTGAGCTGCTACGATGCCTTGGGTGACAAGACCAGACCGGTCTCTCAATACCATCTACATCCAAGATTGTTGAACAGTTATGTAGGAAGATCCAGACGAATAAATACAAACATGGACTCTTTCAATTACAGTGAGATATTGAACATGGATCGTTGGTTGATTAGAGAATGGAATTTAGATTTCTTTAACGTGCATAGTTGTTCCTTATGTATCCCGTTCGGTTACCGGTAATGACTCATATACGTTAATACTAAAATAAAAACCTTATTTCTAAACCAGTATTTCGAAATTCAAGGGATGAGTGATGTTACGTCTTTTTTTCGGAGGATTAACGTGTCAAATTAGAGATCAATCATACGCACTCAATTCAACACCATCATTTATGGAAATAAAGCGCAGATACGATTTTTCAGACATATGCTATCTAATGGGTATGGGACAGAGATGAAGATTGCTATTAAATCATCAATTAAGAGAACGAGGAACGAAGGAAGATTTTTCCCCCAGACAACAAAGTTATATTGATAATTTATTCTTATTTGGTCACGCAGTCAATGTTTCAAGACATTTACGTTATTTAGGCTTGACTCGTCTATTTCTGATTTTCTAATGGCGTACGTATAAATATTTTAAAATCCATACAATAGGAGGCGAATTAAAGGTGCATTATGCTCCCAGGCTGGGGCAAAGATCATATGATCTAATTGTGGGAGTAAAATCATCGCTTGGAAATAAAATAGCTGCCCAATAAATTATGAATTATAACTACACACCTTTTCCATTTCAATCTCAAAGATTTAAAAAAAATGAAAGGAAATATCTGGAGTGATGAAAGCTGTTTCCGACAAGATTGTGACAGGTCGTAAAAAAAATCTTCCATATTCACAATCGCCCAATTTAAAACGAATCTGATAGTAGTAACACTATAATGTGTCCTAACATCGTATTGTGTACCATATTTTCGGATGGGATTTATTCTTTTGAATTTATTCTCATTCCGAAAAAAAGATTCGCTCGTGCGTCAGTCTTGGTTTTTTGTGCTGTAAATTAGGTATTCATACTTACTGAATCCGATAGAATGTCCTTTCCCTTATGTCCTCACGTAGAATGATATTTCATATTGATAGTTATTAGTTTATCGTGTGGGTGCTTTTTAAATTCCAAGTCGATGCAATGGAACATCAAAGAATATTGTCCATCTATGAATGAATCATATTTCCAAACTGGATTCTATAACTAGTTTAAACACCATTTAAGACCGTATTATGCAAAATCTGAATGAAAAATTACAGTGCCACCACTTGTCCTTTGATCGGCCATGGTTAGTAAATAATAAATATGACATTTAGGTGACGGCCGTAACTTCACAAGAACTGCCCCAGTGAACTAATTCTAAGTAGGCAGACTTCTTTTACAAATCTGAAAGCCTGTCACTAAGTGTAAACCTCATTGCCATTGAGTGATATTCGGGATAAATGCGACTTTTTTTGGAGACAGTACGAGCCAATTTCACATTGTCGAAAGACAGACAAAAAATCCATCAGACCTCATCGTTGTTTCACTGTTGCAGTTTATGTAACGAAATTTAAAGGATCATCGACGTGGATGAAGCCATCAGCAACAGTGAATGAGCAATCTAATTAGTTTGTTTTTAGTAGATTAGGATTTCGATGACTGTAAACCATCCAGCTATTCACTGGCTGACATAATCCATCTGGAAACCACATTAAAAGTGGCAACTGCGATTTTAAAAAATCCTCAAAGAAACGAAGATGACTAAGTTCGAAAAGAGAATCACATCACTTACTTAACCTCTGAAAAACGCACATTCTTCAACTGTTCTTCCGTGCATTTGTATAACATTAAACGACTTTCAGTTCTAGAGTGAATGCACAACACTCTACTGTTTACCGCACATATTTCCACAAGCTCTGCGCGTTTTTCAGCCTCCTTACCGACAGACATCAGGAACATTTCCCTCCCCACACAAATATTATCCAGTCTCTACTTGTAAACATAAAATCAACAAATGCGTAGCAGAGAACCAGTTTCCGTTTTAAATATTTGCCCTACTCACGAAATATCAATTACTACATGTCTAACATTTCTACAATAAAAACTGAATCTAACTTTCCGTTTCTCACAATGTGTTTAGGGATGAATTTTCGCCAAGGTTTTCCGGCTCTTTTGTACCGGTTTACTCCATTTCCATTTTACTTGGGAAATCTTTGCGCAATCAATTTGCATTCCTGAGCGATTGGGATGGTTTTGGACACTTGGAATTGAAGAAATTGGAGGTTTAAGTGAAGATAACGTTGTCACTCCAAGGGTATAAAAAGAGACATTGAGGAGGGTAGTGGTAATTATTGGGCAAGTATTCCAAGCATCAGTATATTCTGGGACGAGTTCAAATCCCACCATGGCAGATGATAATACAATCTGAAATGAAAATTGGCCTCATGATGAGCATGTAACTACTATTGATTATAGGGGGTCTTATGGCACAGTGGTGGGGTGTCTATCTCTGCGCCAGGAGGCCCGGTTCAAGCCCCACCTGTTCCAGAGGTTTGTAATATTTTTAAATTGACGTATTCAGAGATATTTATAAAAAAAGAACATTCACTCGGTTAATAGTAGGTCTTTCCATTGCTGCAAGGCTTGGGAACACACCAAGGAAGCTATTGTTCAAAAATGGTTGCGGTTAAAGCATCACTGGTCTACGTAAATTCCAGAGAACAGATAGCAGCAACCATATTCTCAGCTCTACACCTTGTTATCTCAGATTCTCCAGCATCTGCAGTTCCTACTATCTCTGAAGCAATTTCCTTGGTTTTGTTTTGTTTCTGGTTCATTCTAAATCAGGGGGAAAAAAAACTACTGCAAAATATTCTTATATTTCCTTATTTGAGGAAAGAAAACCGAGAAGTTTGTTTCAAATCTATTTAATACGAATCCAACGAAATGCTAGAGCAAGCACAACTTGAAATGCACACTTTCGAGAATGATTGTCAATGTTAAGAATACATTAGTAGCCAATCAAGGTAAACGCCTAGTTAGGATTCTCTTGAACTTCTCGATTAAGGCATTACTTACCAACTGTAAGACATATTTGAACAATTTCCGTTGTCGATCCGTCTAGCTAATTGCAACTTTTCTGATCAGTTAATTTGGGCTAAGTGAACTTTTATAATCTGGCTGAATTTTGCACTTTGATGACAAAGTTTTTAATCGCCGTTACCTTTTTTTAAAAATTTCATATAAATGCGCAGCAGTATATAGTAACAATATACGAACAGTTGTTTTTCAACAACTCCCATCTGTCCTTTTCATGTAGGAAGAACGCTGGTCAACCAGACGCAATTAAAGAGCATTACGATGACCTTTGAAGCAAAAACCTATACGTGCCCAAGGGAAAAGCAGTGATTATTGGAAAAAGGTGAGGCGTGTTACACAAATCAGAGGTAGCAGTGGTGTCAGTTTTAATCAGAAGCAATCTAGTAATAGGTTAGATCGGAGTCCAGCATGTTGGGTATCCATTGATACGTAGGTGGTGATAACCCTTACGAACTTCCGAGTCGACTGAAGTCTCAGATTTGATATATTGCATTATGAAGTCACGTGCCCCCACACTACTATCACGCTACCATATTTCAGGAGCGGAGTTTTGCAGTAATAATAGCGTCTAGTAGTCGCTTGTTGAAAATGATAATGTCATTTATGGGTTCACTACTTGTTCCGATGCGGTTTTCACGAATATGCTTACTGCTAATGCCAGGCTACAGATTTTACGGTCTGGCGACTAAGCTAACTGGATCTCATTTGGAGATCAGGCAATTAATAACATTCTGAAACTGTATAGATTTTTGTTATCGTTCGTTACACTTATGGTCAATGGAGGAGATGCTCTCCTGCAGTGGCAGAGTGGGGAAGTTGATTGACCCATTAATGGGATATTTGACTTATGCAGGTTACCTGGTGTTACAATCACTGCTTTTCAAGCCCCACCTGTTCCAAAGGTGTAATAATAACATCTGAGCAGGTTGATTAGAAAAACAAACTTTTCTTTTAAGATGTAGCGCCCATTCTTCGGGTGCTAACTGGCCTACTGAGCACCCCCAAATGTGGCCAGGAATTCACCATCTTGATTAAGTGAAAAATACATACATGCTTGAGGCAGGCATTAGACCTTTCACATGTCAATAAAGGGGCTATCGGCTCTTTCAGGCACTCATTTCAAAGTTAATCTGCTATGAAGCAGAGTTAGCTACATTCAGGAAAAATCAGGTTTTGGGATTACCGGGAAGCCCATAAAACGTTTTACAACATTTACTTTAAAGCAGAGTTCTCCTAACTTCACATGTAATCATTCCCCCAATCCAGATCACATCCCTTGACCCCAGCCCTGATCCTAGAGTTCTCCAAACCCTAATCTGAACCGCGTCTTAAACACAAAACTAATTTACCCGAAGACCTCTGCGATACTAATAGCGGCCTAATCTTTTATTTCTCTTTCCTCAGAAGCTGTTCAGCTTTCCAAGCCCTGTCATAATGAGGCCTCGAGTTACCAGCTGGAGAGTCTCCGGTCTCAAAATTCAGGCATTATGTGTCATGAGCCTCCACGCGTCCCTCATTCAAAATAGAACGAACTTTTAATTTTAAGGCCAATAAACCCATAGTAATTAATCTAAAAGAATTTCAAATACTTAAGCAAAAATAATAATAAAAATATTGGAAAGTTGGCCTACTTGGAACTTGATAGTTGGACATTTAATTGTGAAGTGCTACTCTCCCAAATGGGATCGCAGTTAATAGGAGGGCGTGGAGAAGTTTGCTGCTACGTATCAGGAGCGGGGACGGGAGCAAACAATAAACATACGCACTGCAACCTAAATTCTGGTCTTTATTCATTGCGGAAAATGTCAGTCATTCTAAATGTAACCGACTTTAAACATGAAAGTTTTCTCTCCCCCTTTCTTTCACAAATCAAATTTCTTGTTGTTTGTAAATGCAAGTTATTGTTCCCAACTTTTGGGAGGCAGCTCTACGCATATGTGTATTCAAGCATGCACAGAGATCTCTCCTAAACATGATGGTTAAAGTTTCAGTCAGTGAGGAGCCAAGCAATGTAAACAGGGTTGTTTGGCTGGATCCCAAAATGCTGTTATTCCGACCAATAGCTACGTCGTAAATGTATTAAACTATCTATAATTGATATAAAATATGTACATAGTATCTTCCTTTGCATAACAGGTGATTGTTTTATATTAGCATCCTATGATTAAATTTCACATTCTTATGAGTGTAGTAACTTCAGATGATCAAACTGCTCCCAGAAAGAGAAACTTATTTACAAAAACTAGTTTTTGATTAATACATGTCTTTCATGGATTAATACAGATCTTCGTGATTTATCATTAAGGCTCCTATTGAAACCAAACATTTCAATTATTCTAATGTTAACAAACTTCAAGTGCTTTAAATACTTGAGATGAAAAGAATTGCAGGCTAAACAGCGCAGCATTGTGACTAATTAAATAGCGCTTTCAGAAAGCTGGCACAATCATAATGGACTGAATGGTTTCCTTCTGTGCTATATGCTCCTATGATTTTGTAATAAGTTTTTTCTGACGTATACTCCGTTTGAAGAAACATCTTCCATATATTTTATAACATTATACTGCTGTTTTCTAATGCATAAGTTAATTATTTTGCACATAAGTATGACTCAAATATTGGTTTTTGTTTATGCACTCATTGGATATGACATTACTGGCAAACATTCATTGTCCACCCCTAACTGCCTATCAGAAGGTTATAGTGAACATTTTTTGAACAGCTGTGGTCTGTCTGTGAAGGTGCTCCTACAGTATTGTTAGGAAAGAAGTTTCTGAATTGTAACTCAGAAATAACAAAGCAATGCTGAAATATTTCCAAGTCAGAGTAGTGTATTACTTGAAGGAAAAAATGGAGATTGTGATATTCCCTCACACCTGGTATTCTAGTTTATCTGGTGATGGAGGTTGAGAATTTGAGTTGGCATTGATAAAGCCTTGGTGAGCTGCTGCTGTGCACCTTATAGATGATCCAAAGTGCACTAGTAAAACATAGGACTGAAACAGGCCCTTGAGTCCATTGACCAATTCCACCATTGATGATCATGGCTGGTCATTTATTTCAATGCTCTTCCCATGCCTCTTATCACCTTTAGCCTCTAGAAACCTAACTATTTATTCTCAAATATATTCCAAAAGCACTGCTTGGATGAGCAAGTGAAAATGATCAAGTAGCTTTGAGATCACATCACCAACCTGAAGAGACTGGGAGCCCCTGAGAATGGTGTGGGAGAGTACCCATTTGGCAAACTCATCCTGGGCTGTGTGGGGTTCAATAAATCCATTTGCGGTATATGGTGACTTCATTCTAGTGAAAAATATATTCAGTAACTTGCCCTTCACAGTCTTCCAGAGAGTTCCAATTCTACCAGTTCACCATACTCTGAAGAAATTTCTTCAAATTCCAAAACAGCCTACATTGCATCCTGAGACTATGACCACTTGCCCTAAGCTGGCACCACCAATCCCACCCCTCCAAACTTGGCAAAAGGAAACCATCAGTCTTGCATACTCAAGAATGAGAAGGCAACTCATTCTTTTAAACTTCAGTGACTAGTACCAGTTGACCCAATCTCTCCTAATCAACAACCCCAAAAGGAATTTATCTGGTGAACCTTTGCTGCACTCCCTCTACAAAAAGTATACCTTGGGTGAGGAAACCAGAGCAGTGTATAATGCTCCAGTTGTGGTCTCATCAAGGCACAGTCCAGCTGCAGCAAGATTTCCTTGATTCTGTACTCCAACGCTCTCTTGCAATGAAGGCTAGCATGCAATTTATGTTCTTAATTGTCTACTTGCTTTCAGTGAGCAGCGTACAAGGCCATCCAGGTCCCTTTCGTGCATCAAGATTTCCTAAGCTATCACCATTTAAACTATACTTTGCCATTCTGTTTTCCTATCAAAATAAACAACTTCACATTTATCTATGCTTTACTGCATCTGCCATGCATTTGCCCACTCACTTAATTTATCTAAATAAACATAAACCCTCCTCACCACTTATCAGAGATAGCAGGAACTGCAGATGCTGGAAAATCTGAGATAACAAGGTGCAGAAGCTGGATGAATACAGCAGGCCAAGCAGCATCAGAGGAGCAGGAAAGCTGACATTTCGGGCCTAGACCCTTCTTCAGAAAT